GTGTGTGTGTATATATGTATATATATCTATCTACATATATGTATATTCATATATATCCACATATATGTACTAATATCTGCAAGTGTTTACACATGGATATGTGATTTGTGGACTCGTGTATTCACGTGTTTGTACAAATAGCACATCATAGAGGGAGAGGCGTGTGCTGGACGTACATAGACCACAGCCAGGTGGTACATACATAGTCCGGCCCGTTTACTCCGTAGGGGGAATCTAAAAAGTTTTTATAATTGAGTCTGTCATTTTTTTAATATATATTCAATAGGAATGGGTATGTATTTCAAACCCAATCATTTAGATTATTATAAAGCTCGTTGCAGAGTAGAGAGTATCATTTATTCCTGAGAGTAAAGAGTAACATTTATTCTTGTGCATTAGCTATATATAGAGTTATCACTCTCTAGAGCTCTATACTTCTAAAGAAGGCTGAGAGCAGAAGGCCAGAACGCATGAGCATTGAGCATTGAGCATTGAGCGTTGAGCAGTGAGCTATTCTATTTTTTAGAAAGAGAGCATATTGTTCAAGTTTCTAAGGAGCCCTGGCTTGACCAGAGTTGACCGCTTGGGTCGTAAGTTTTTAATTTTTAAAAAGTTCTTGAGCGTCTTGGCAAGTTGGCCTCACTCTCTCGAGTCTCGTCTCTCTCTCACTCACTTATTTACTTCATTTATTAATTTGTGCGTGACAGCCTGGCTGCCCTTGTTGGCTGTTGCGGGCCAGTGGCCACTCACTCATCACTGACAGCCTGACACAGTGGTGTATATTGACCAATGACCATCAGACACCAGCAAAGAGTAGAGTGATTGGATTAGAAACGGAGAAAAACTAAGGCTGTCTGGGAAATAAAAATCATATTTTAAAGTTATTGTAATTTAATTTTTTAACAAAATATATCTATCAAAACAAGTACAAAAACCCCCCCCAAAAAAAAAGGTCTGAAAAAGCGTACGGCCTGCAGCCCTGTGCCCTGCGTCCTGCGCCCTCTACTCTAGTCGAGCCTGTCCAGGTCTCTACTCTCTCAGTAGAGTAGCGGACTAGCGGCCCCTCTCACTCTAGTCCTATTTACACACAACACAACACATCACTCAACTGTCAACAGTCAACACTGTACAGTGTACATTGGTTTATTTTTATTTTTTTAAAGAGCAGAAGGGTTTTGATAAAAATACTGTAGCAGACGACGGCGCGACGGCCGACGCTCAAGAAAAAGAATACACGCATAAGGTGCCAGGGGGGTTGCATAATTGCATATGACTTTCAAGTTTACACTTTCACAAGTTTCATCAGTCTTGGCTGTACTCCTGTTCAGCGTTTCACTGGGGTTTCTAATTTCTCAAGTCTTTCAGCCTTTCAGGCTTGGAAATTGGAAACTGACCAAGGCTGGAGCTTTTTTAGACACATCCCCATTCGCCTAAACATCTCACATTCTCGACAACTTCATCTGTACAGACGAATTATATGCCGTCTCATGCTGTGGCTGGCGGAAATAATTTCTCAATTTCAGAATATTAATTGATAATAAAACAAGGAGCCGAACAAAAATCTGATACAGTCTCACAGCTAATACATTGTTGTGCGGATTGTGCAATGCAGCATAGTATATGCACGTTGCATCGGATACGAAAATATATATGAATTTGTGCGCAATGTTTTAAAAGATGTGTACACATTCAGAAGTGAGCCGACGGTCAACACAAATATCTACGGTGCCTGATTCCAAATTATGCGAGAATCGGTTATTCTCAAGCGGCAATAAACCACTTTCACCTCGTAATGTAATGTATGGTGTCCTTTCCCATGAAAAGCCAACAAATATGTCGGATGAGCATTTACATTCGACACCAGTACTTCCAAGAAGCATGGAAGGTATTGTGAGCACACTCCAGATGGAGCAGTGTGCAGCTACGTCTCCATTAATATCGGAGCCACGTTACGGTAGCAAGGAACAATCTTATCCTTACCGAGACCTTAATGATGATGGTATACAGTCTGTCAGCGAGAAGTTGGAAAGGGAAATACTACAAAAGCAGACGATACAATTACTTAAGAAACTGCATCGCCATTACCACCCTCAGAATACACCTAAACATACAAATTTGTATGATAGTCATAGGCATTCTGTAAGAGTGCCAAATAGACACCCGAGGACGAGTAAGAAGATTGAGAAAATGTCACGCACGTCAAAAAAGGTCTTAAATGACGGTTCTTGTAGGTATATACACTTACGTAGGCTCCAGGAACTATCGCATCTGGGTCCAATGACAGTTCAAGAGAAGGTGACCGAGTATTTACAAAGGCAATCACTACATCTGGAAGCAGCGCGCACTGATGTAGAATCCCCACAATATCGAGGCTCTGACGCTGATATCGATTGATGCTTTGTGGCGATTGATGTTGAGCTCAGTCTAGGATGGTGAGAGTAAGGCATCACATTTAATTATTCGGCCTGATCCGTTGAGTAGCCAACTCGTAAATATCTTTGGGAGTCCCCACAGTTCGTCACAGTGTTGAAGGTACTATCAACGGTGCGAAAAAGCGAACTGCAATTCTCACGTTATGAAATGCTCATGTCGACTAGAGACTTCTCCAAGCAGTCATGGGGTGTAGACGGGGCAGATAAATACGTTGTATGTAAATATTGCCGAAAAATGGGTATACACATGTTATTTAATGGGTTTTTAAGCAAATCATATATATATGGGTGTGGTATGCGATGAACCTGAGATAGTTGATCCAAATTACATCGTCTATGACTTCAGTTCTTCACAATTACTGTGTAATTGCGACATGACATCACATTGGCGCACGCTAGTTTTACTTTTGGTATGCGGGGTACAATACTAAATATGCACAAAAATAAAGTCAATACGTGAATGATGTTAAATTTATTCATTGTTCTGGGTAGAATTGGGGTTCGGGTATCAGATGCAGAAAATAGACTGGTTTGGATTAATAATGTCTTGTCGAATGTCTCATTTGGAGGCTGTGTATTAAAATAAAATAAAAAATCTTGATTTTGATACCTTGGCATGCCAGTTTCTCAAATCCAACGAGGTTTACTACTAACAAAGCTCTATATAATAGAAATTGTTCTTGTGATTTTAATTCACTGATATGCCATCACAGTGGTGACGCAGTGGTAGATTTTCAGAAATCATATTGGCTGTAGTCATCTGCGATGTACTACATCTGTATATTCCAGAAATATGCTATGGTCGCAGGTATACGTGCTTCGTTCTCGAGATGCATACATGCGTTTCTCAAACTTCGTTGTTCTCGAGAGCATCAGATAACGACGTATCTCTATACTCACGCAATTACAGGAAAACTAGTTCCAAATAGTCAATCGTCACCGGATATAGATTTGGTTATTTTCTAGAAATATAGTAATGGTGTATCCTGCACGAGCGATGATCATGATAGGGGCAAATTGCCGATGCTGCAGATACTGATGCTGCTGGCAGCGCGAAGGCTCACGCGTGCATGTCACTAACTTTTTTTTTCTTCTTCCTCGTGACACAGCATTTCACTATCGGTCCATGTTCTACCATGACCCGATTCAATTCCTCAGGTTCCCAAACGTCGCATAACAGTAGCTATGCGGCATCAGTACATTGAGCAAAACATTCCGCCAGGACATCCCTGGGGGCAGTGGTGAACATTGATGCCGGATATACTTTCGTTCCATACAATGGATGGCATAACATCTGCAGTGTAACATTGATATAAGAAACCGACGACACATTGCGTCATTGTCGTGCCTCATCCACGGTACGTTTCAAAAAAATGAAATAGGCAAGGTGTACAATTGATGCCAGTGCTCTAGCTGCTACAGAGCGATACAATTGATGCCAGTGCTCTAGCTGCTACAGAGCGATAATCAATCTTATTTCTATTCAATACATCATGACACGCACCGACAGAAAACAACGATATTTCCGCAGCAGAATGTCGAGCACAGTCAAATTGCACATATAAAATAAATACACGTCGCATGAAGTCTATTCGTGAGATCCGTACCTGACAACAGCCAGTCAGTATCATATCGTATCCTAGCAATGTTTGAGCTCCAATGACCTCTGGGTAGAAGCTGGTACCGGGCTCGCCTAACATCTAAAAAGGAAACATTGAGAGTAAATATGAGCGAATATTATAGCAAATTGAGCTTGAGCTGTACTAGAAGTGATATAAGCACACATGCGCAGTGTTGTGAAGATAAATCCATGGCGGGTTTCTCATCATCTGCGGATACGCGTAGTACCATGGACATTCTAAACATCTGTCATAAGCTATTAGCAAGGAATTTTACGCTTAGAGCAGACGGTGAGAATCAATGCACATATGCTATTCAATATAAAATATGCACACAATGTTGTCGACGGAACATACTGGATATCCTGTGGCCGGATCTGCCAAATCTGCCCAGTAACCTCTTTCCACTATCGCGTTGCAGACCGCACTTCCCCAGCGATGAAACTACAAAGTTCATAAAGGACGAACACTTAATAACAGTAAGAGCGCGATTGAAAAGGTGGAGCAATACTGCAGCGATCAAACCATGGTTGTTTGGTAGCGGCGTTTCCGTCGTCACTGACAACTGCGAGATCGATAATTTGAATTGAAATACGAACATACCTTTTCTAAACAATCGTCTTTCACCTCTTCAATGGCTGGGCCTATGGATGTCAAATCTAAATCCGTTCGCTGCATGGAATAGCAATCTGATAGTAAGTAGAGAAATATAACGATTTCGCATCGACGTACTTCGGTTCACAATCTCCTGCTGCACCTTATGGTTCTAAAATGAATGTCATTACGCCAGTATACAATATGGTACTGTTCACCTTCACTTCCATACATAGTGAAAAATGCGATAATTCACGTCAGTTGTGTGATTTAATAATGTAATCCACTTAAATACCTACAAAACACTTCAATGTGACACAATCAAAAAGTACATCAATGTAGATTAGGAATGATAGGCATGTGCTGTAAATTGAACATAGTTTCATCGATTGAAATACATCTTATCCTGTGCGCGATGTTTAATTGATCCAATAGTCTTCATATGAGCACAAAATTGAATTGTAAATGAAGCTCCATATATCTATGTAGAGGTATGTACCAAAATAAATAAAATTGTACATGTTTGATACAGGATAAACGCTACTATCTGTAAGATAGCAGATATCTATGATCAAACTGTAAAAAGCCACAAAAATCAGTACATATAGTCACAACAGAATATTTCTAAAAAAAAGTATACATGAAGAACTACTTGCGTTCTCGGCTACGAACACGCATACACATACACGGATTGAAGGTTGGATACTTACTTAAATATCAACACGTACTTATGGGTAGACACCTAAAAACGATGAATGTAAATTTGAACCGACAATATCATATATGATTCCAAACATATATGTAGAAACACCCACACCCACACCCACACACACATTATAGATATATATATATATATATATATATATATATATATATATATATATATATATACTATATATATATATAATAATATACTATATATATATATATATATATATATATATATATATATATATATAATATATATATATATATATATATATATATANACTACTAATATATATAT